AGTGTTGGCATAGGAACTGCATAGGAACTGCAGTAATGTGAGATGTGATGGGAATATAGACCAATTTAACCTGAGAGAATTTGGGTCAAAGTTCCTGGTGGGGGTGATATTATCTAGGTTTGGGTGGGGGAGTGGAGGAGTCATTTGATGAGAAAGGGGGTAATAGGTAGGCTTGGCCGCTTGGAAGAGGTTGCATGGCAGGGCTGGGACCTTACCTGGTGGAGCTATGCTGAATTTTCAACACATCGTAATTTTTTGAGCAGGTGGGTGTTTACCTGTGAAAGGCTGGGGTCACTTAGGCCATGACTATACTGTGTCCCTGCTGAATTTGGGACCATTGCTGAGAACCAAGCCCTGCCCACTTGCTTTTGCCCAAGGCTGAAAATTAAGCACCCAAGGTGGCTTTGAAGGGCCCTGTGTGTGCCACACTTTTCTGAGACAGAAAGCCATTCTCAGAACATGCCTAACACACACCCTCTGGCCTGGGACCCTCATGAAATTATGTGGCAACTCCTTTTCTTTTTAAGCTATTGGTGCCCACTACCTTTTAGATAATAGACTGTTGCTTAGACCACTTACAAAGAAAGTAGGAGATCCAGGTTCAATGCTTTTTTAAGATTGAAGGGGATCAAACCCACATCTCTGACCCCCCTCAGGTGAGTACTCTAACCACAAGGCTGTGGACTACATTGTGTTGGGGGTGAGCATCTTCCACCTTTCTTGTTGAAGCTGTGCACTATACAGAAAAAGATTTAAAGTTATTTGGGCCAGAGGGAGTAGGACTCTGCTGCCTCGTGGTTATGATACTCGCTTAGCAGGGGGAGAGTCCTGGTCTTTGCTTCCAGGACTGTTTCTGTATTTCACATTAAACAATGATTAAAAGAAGTACAGAACCAGCATGGGGATACCCCAGTTGGGCACCTAAAACTCAATGCACAAAGAATTTCTAGTGATCTTTGCAAATCTTGGCTGATAGCTTCTAGGAACGTATGCCAAACTGAATGCAAAAAGAGATGTGTTACAAACAGCCAGACGAGAGGACAGAAGAGGATGAAACAGGGGATTTGATATCCATCTGGACATTTTTGGAAACTGAAAGCATTAACTGGAGGAAGGCGTGGTGAGGCAGGAGTAATAAGCTTAAATTAAACTCAGGAAAGTTAAACTTAGCTATTGCGAAAGAAATTCCTCATAGTCTGAGTAAGGGAGAGCTGAAAGCCTGTTCTTGGAGTCCCTTAACTGGAACAGACAAAGACATGGAAAATATTTAGTGAATAATCCTGTATTGGCATTCAAGATGGACTGGATGACCTAACGGGCCTGGTTTTCAAAGGCACCTTAATCTAGCCTCCAATTTAGCACCTGCAGTCAGTCACAAATGCAATTCTTCAGGCACAATTGATGCCATTTAACTGTCCGACTGCCTGATTTTTGAGTGCAGCCAAGAAGATTCTGAATGTCATTGGCAGCTTCTACATTATTTGCAACATGGCTACAGCCCCAATGGACTGTGAGTAATAAGGGCTGTGGACTGCTTTTAAAAAAAAATCAAATAAATATGATATTTCTAGCTCTCACTTTAGTGTTTCTAGGAGACCGTAGGCAGAATTCTACCGTCACTGACATCCACTGACTGGGATGGCATGGCTGTAACTGGACCTAGGAACTAGAGGTGTTTTTAAAATGAAGAAACAGAGGTCAACTGCCCTGACCAATGGGAAGAGGCATGATAAACACTACTCATTCACTCTGTGATTAATTAATATAAAGAAGATAAGAGAATACACATAAAGTTGACTTAAGCCACCTGATCCAATATCTTTAAGTTTTCCACAATCCAGTGCAAATCCTGGCATGTTGCTGAAATCTGATCTAGCTCATCATCAAGCCAATTTTGGAGGAATCTTGGCACTGTGCATGTGCACGTGAGTTTCGGTGCACACAGAAGTGTGAAAGGCAGACTGTTTCCAACTGAAATGATTCATATATTATGGAGTATGCCCTTGTGATTTAAGGATAAAGGTCTAAAAATACAAAGATTTAGGTCAGTTCCTAATCATTTCCTTAACTTTTCATCAAGTTTTGAGGCTTCTTTTCTCTTTGCATACTCTTCCTCACTTTCTGTCCTTGCTGTATGGCAGCCTGTGGTGGTTTAAATGCTGCCTTTTAATAAACAGGCTAGCCCCAGCCCCAGAGTAATGCTTCAGGGAAGAGCTTTATGACAGTTCATGAAATAAACCACAGTTTATATTATTGGAAAACATTCTTCTGGTTCAGCTCTTACGGGGATATTGCATTTTCCATTTCATCTCCTTAACAGCTTCCATCTCTTCCTTGAGCAAGAATATTATTCTTGTTTCCCATCTGAGAGACAGAAGGGAACAACTGAGATAGTGTAGGGGCTAGTAGAAATGGGGCTGTGATAGACATGCATTGGCCTGTAGCACCAGAACAGAGATCCTGACACTTCAAAGCAGGCTATTACACACTATTACACAGAGTCCTTCTACAGCTGCAGAATCCTGGTCTTTTACTTTAAATATGCAAACAGTCCAAGTGATGCGAATGGAAGTTATTGCACATTTTAACTTAAGCATATACTTAAGTGCTTTACTAGTTTCAAGGTTTAAAAGATGCTTCGAAGGCAACCAAAACCTACCAACAAAACATATATCTAACTGTGTGATGCTGTATGCAGAGGGAAATGGAAGTGCCTCCTGTCTACCATAATCCTGAAGCCTGAGAGTTGGTTATTCTTCTCTCAGCACGAATAGCTACAACCAGTCAGTACCAATACATAGTCTTCAAGTACATGCCAATATCTCTGGTAAAACCTTACTGGTGAAATGTGTAACATACCTATGACAATGTTACAGAAGCAGTCAAGAAAAGCACCTCAAGCTGGAAATCATTTTGAGGCTAGTTCTGGTCCCCTCCTTTGTATTAAGTCCTGCTTTCTTAGCAGGCACATAGGACCCCATTGCTGAGTGCAATCATCTGTGCCAGGGCCAACCTTTGAAGTACTGTGCAGAACACAACCCCCTGCCCATGGGGTAATAAAATCAATCTGCTTTGATGGTGCTTAGCAATGGCTTGACTTTAACAGAATGTACAGTACCAGCACTTAATTCAATTAACTTTAGACTGGGTTGGGATAACACAAGCACAAGACAGCACGAGAGAGGCAGACTTGCTAATTTAATGATATTATGGAAAGGGGCTTGTTGTTATTTCAGAATTAATGTCTGAGGTAAAACGATTGGGCTTTGCTTCACTTGATGCTTAGAGTCAGAACGAGTTTCTGTCAGACTCAAGGACCTCAGATCATAAAAAGAATTCCCAGTATTACAGTATCGGCTCACTCCGCATATGCAAAGTGCTGACTGATGTTCTACGAAAGTATGAACTAATTAATTTTATAGTCAAAAGAGCCTGGGCTAATAAAATCCCCATTTTTTGTCCCACAGAGAGAGAGAATAAGAGAGCAATTGTGGTGTAAGAAATAAATACAGTTAAGTACACTGAGTTTGTCAAAATGCAAGGCTGGGAGTTTAATTGGAAATATTCATATGTACGCTCAAGCACACTTGAGCTGAGTCAGTTTGGTTAGGAATAATTAAAACTGGATTTGGCACAGTTGTCATGAGAGTCACAGATTGTACATAGGGTTTTTTTGTTTTGTTTTATTTTTTCCAGTGGCTGCAATTTTAGCAATCTCTGCATGCTTGTTAATGGGTGTGTGCAGGCAGCTAGGGAAGGGACAAGCATACAGAACTTTGCACATATAAGGAGTTACTAAGTTGCAAAAATTGTCTATTGACAGTGTAGTATGGGGTGCATTGTTGCCAAAATCAGCTGTATATATTTGGTATTTAAATGAAAAATACTTTTTTATCCCATGTTTAGAAAATCTGTCCTCAAAACCCTTTAGAAAGCAGCTGAGGAGACAAGCTAGGAAGTGATGAGGGAGCAGAACATCTTCAATAACAGTGCAGGGATAAAGGAAAGCTGCAGATTCACACTGAGCTTAGCAAACCACTACTGGATCACCAGAGCAATATGGGGATGAGCAAGCAGGGAAGAGTGCTAAGACCTCTCTTGAAGAGTTATAAAATCCAAGCATTTACCTCCCAACAGCTACAGAACAGGGACAAGCCAGCTGGGGACATGAGGCACCCAAGAAATGAAGAGCTGTTCTCAAAACTTTGAAGCTCTTGGGGGACCTGACTGTGCTAACATATTTCAGTAGCTAGACAGCATGTCCGTGATGTCTCAAATTGTTCCTGAAGCTTTGGACAACTTAAAACATTTGTACTACAATTTCTCTCTGAACTTTTCCTACATCTACCATGACAAAATTTATAGGTGCAAGATCTATTACAGAAGATGATTAGTAGTGAACTTTCAGCCAGTTGTGTATCAGTTTAATATCTGTTTATTAGTTGACTATACTCTGCTGAGGCAGGGGGATGAATCTAATTTTATAGGTATATCATGTATTTACCAGGGCATGTTATTTTTGTGAGAGTTGATGCTATGTTGTGTGTAGCTCCCAGAAGTACACATACAAGATCCATGAGTGTCCCACTTCAAGAAGAAAAAGAGATAGAGTGATAGGAACTCACCATATCCAAAGAGAGCCATCTTAATTCCTTTCAAGCGGGAGACTCGGGGAGTTAGCAACGCTCCTACGCATTTTCCCAGTCATTCCCAATTCAGTCTGGAGTGAGCTAGTGCATCTATACGTTCTATATGGTTTAAGATAAAATGCCCACAAGACAACTTCTGGAGACTGGACTGGTCTAACTCCATTGGCTTCAACAGAGTCACATCAGAGACTAATTTGACCCAAGGAGACATCTTCGAAGTATATGAACCACAAACATGGTATTAAAAAAGAAAAAGAAAGGGGGGAAAAAACCAGGAAATCTGGACTCTAGCCCAGCATAAAGCCCCACCAAACCCTCATGTCACCTATCATGGCATATGCTGCTGGTTACCTTTTTGCTTACTGACTTTCCTTACTGTCATTGCCGCTTGTCGCTTTTGATTTTCAGAAATTTCAAAGCCTGGAAAAGGGAACATGGCAAACGATTCAGAAAATTGCTTACTACTCGGCCTCTCTGGAATATTTCTTCATGCACCATTTATCACACAACTAACCCTTGAGGGACAAAGCACTACCTGGTGCGGCTGCCCACTTGGAGAAACATTTGAACAAAAAACAGATCTTATTTTAAAATGAAGCCTCCTTATAACATCAACTGGAAGGCTGGGGGGAGGGGACAGTGGGAGGAGCTGCATGGAAAGCAACCTTCCTGCCTCTAAGTGGTGTTATACTGTACCATAAATGTAAGCAGCGCTTTATGGATAATGGGACTGATTCTAATCTTGGTTGTAGCAGCCATATGTGCTGACGCACAAAGGAAGGCAAGGCTAGTAGATCAGCAATATCTTTTGCCTTTCTCCCTACTCAGGAGGTGCCTAACTAGGGCAGAAATTGTATAGCCAGGCGGCCTTGATGCCTCTCAGGGCACAGGACTTCCTGATTCCTCTCTCCTACATCTGGACAGAGGCTTGATGCTAAGGGTAGGATTTTCTCCTAAGCAAACAGAAATGCAACACTAGTAACTGAATGGAAGAATGGTCAGGACCAAGCATGATCAGCTGGTACCTATTCCCTGACAGTGAGATAAGTCAAGGATGTTAGAATGAAATTTATTGGTAGTTCTAACGCACAATAATTCACCCTTCTCCTTCAGAAAGAGATAAACCAAATGCCATCAGCACCCACCCATTCATTTTGAATCCCTTACCTATCTTTTCATCTTCTTGTACCATCTTCCTTTCTTCTCTGAAAGCTCTCAGCCATCGCAATTTCTCTTCCAGCTTCTTGGCAAAGAATAAGTGTATTTCATCAGTCTCCTTGTTATGAAGTTTAAAGGCATTCTTCATGCTGACATTGAAATCATCATCTCTCCCATCTTCTATATCCACCACCTCATATTTATCCATGTCAATGCGACCTTTGTAGTATAGGATATCTCTTCGTATCAGGTCCTAGGTGAAAAAGAGGGATGGGTTTACTTCTAAGTAGACTGAAGTCTGTCTCATGAGGTACATACTAAGTCTTAGTTCAGTTGACATTTCACAGTCCTCTTGAAGCGCTGAACTGAAAGAGTTAATTTTCAAAATATGATCTAATTCTTACAACTTAATTTGCTGTAGAGAATTGTACTGCTGGCTAAATGAACAGGATAGACAGAGGCTACAGAGGATAGAATGTGAAACTGGTATATTCCTTAAACTTTAGGAGAAAAAATATAATTTGCTTGCACTTAGGAATTAACTGCCCCAACAGAGTTGTTTATTCTGTAAGTGTCCATTGCATGGAGGGTTCATTAAAAAAAAACCAATGATTTTTTTAAAAGTAAAAAACATTTTAAAAATGTTATTAAATTATAATTCATGTTTCTTCTATTAAAAGCTATTAAAATGAAATCTAAATTAAATAAAAATATGTTGTTATAATGTCTTAAAAATGCAAATAAAAACAAAACATGCAGAATCCATTTGAATTCAGTATGAATAAAAACAAGAAGGGAGGGGATGAAATCTATTCATTTTAAATGTCTGAAGGATAAATAGTTTAGGAATAACTTAGGAAATAAGTTGGGAAATCTTCTGATTTTCCCAAGCCTCAGGCAAATAGCAATAGGAGTTTGTCACTTTAATTTAGGCATATTTGAAAAATTTCCCAGGCTAGCCTAAATTAAATGGTGCAATTCCCTGACTACAGTTAATTTTTCTGTTCAATAAATCATTTAGCTGTAAGTGTGAAACTTGTTTTGATAAGAACAGTTGATGCCTCCAAAACACTTCAGTGGGTTTGTTTAAGAACAATACATTTTATAGGCTGTTTTGCATGTTTAATTAAATTCCAGTTACCATCGTAATGCAGCTGCTTGACACAAATCATGAGCAAAAGGCAAGTTATCCAGTAAATAAGCAATAATCAAACACCATTTTCTAACATAGTAAAATGTGGAATCAGTAAGTATATGAAATATTAAGCTATATAACTGCTTAAATAAATGTTTATAGTTAGAGTGTACCCTTCAAGCATATAAAATGCCTTCCTAAGTGGCAAAAAGATGTACCAAATCTAGTGCAAAGGCCCTATTTACATGTTATTCTACACACTTTAATAGTTATATCAACCAACAATAATGCCTTTTCTTAAGAAATCAACTGAAGAACAAATGGAATAAATGCATTTAAAGCAATCATTTTAATTGAGGCTGGGGATTGAAATGAGATTACTTGAACTGTTTTGATTTAACTTAATCCATCAGGATTATATGGGGTTTGCATCTTCTCACTGTCCCTGTTGCACAGATAACTGGACAACATAGGCCATTAGCCAGTCCAGTTCACATGCTCCTCAAGAAGAGATATTGATGAGGAAACCTTATGGACATCTTGTACAAATGTCCCCAGTAATGCAGAACTGAGAATGCAGAATCATAGAATCATAGAAAATTAGTGTTGGAAGGGACTTCAGGTGGTGATCTAGTCCAGCCCCTTGCTCAGAGCAGGTCCATCCCCAACTATCATAGAATCATAGAAAAGTAGGGTTGAATGGGGCCTCAAGGCAGACTCATCCCTAAACCATTTTAACAAGTATTTGTCTAACATGTTCTTAAAATTTTTGGGACCAACCCTCACACATGGCTATTAGGTAAACTGGCCAAAACATCAAAACCACCCTTCAGCTTACCAGAGAAAAAGTAGTGGAGCAAGGACACTGTCATGTTCTACCACTGCAGGGACAGGAATAGTTTGTTGCTCAAGAAATCCAAGGCAGATGATCAAACCAGTTCTAAATGTCACAAGAAGTGGGGTTTCCATCACTTTCCTCATACAAACTTCCCTGCTGGGAAAATTATCCTCATGTTCACTCCAAATTATCCTTAGCTCAACTCCATCCAAATATTCCTAACCCGCTGGACTCTTCATACCTTTCTTTTTACTCATTGGTGTTTAGTCCCCACTACCATATTTGATCATTGTGGGCATTTATAGATGTGCTCCAGAGGTGTGTGTGTGCTGGGGGGGGGGGGG